CAATGTATTTGCAAGTTTAATCATTCCTTTGTGGCTTTTCTTATTTTTGCCACACAATAAGATTTATTAATAAGAAAAATTTCACTGCACCTCAAGTTCATTTTGAAGGGACTGTGAGGATTGAGAGCTAACATGCAGCTCTCTCTCTATAGGCACATCAGCCTGTTGTCCGTGAGTGCCAAGTCTGTAGGTCATCACAGTGGCAAGGAGCAAGTCTGACTTCAGTACCATGTGATGACAGTTCTCATTGCAGCTGTAACTTGCTGTAACCTCTAAATGAGTGGACCATTCCACAACCACATACTCACATGGGATGGGAGCTGATACTCACTGGAAATAGGTTTCATAGAATCATAGAATAGCTTGGGTTAGAAGGGGCCTCAAAAATCATGCCCCTGCTGTGGGCAGGGTTGCCAGATCCTAAATCAGGTGTTAGATCAATTTGCCTAGAGCCCCGTCCAACTTGCCTTGAACACCTTTGGGGATAGGGCATCCGAAACTTCTCTTGGCAGCCTGTGCCAGCACCTCATCACCTTTTCTGTGAAAAATTTCCCCCAATGTCTACTCTAAATATCCTTTCTTTTAGTTTAAAAAAAGTGTCCTATCACTATGTACCCATGTAGGTTTATTAAACTCTTCTGAAGATCAGGTAGATGTCTGCTCTTGCAGACATGAGTCATGCATTCAGAGTCCATTTCCTCTATGAGCATGTGCTCTATGTGCTCCATTTCCTCTATGAGCACATGTGACTACCTCTGCCCAGTGCTGGAGAGCCTGTGGAAATTGAAGGAATCTGTCCGTTTTTGGCAAATTTCTAGCCACGATAGCTATCACAGAATCATTAAGGTTGGAAAAGACCACTAAGATCATCTAGTCCAAGTGTTGACCCTTCACCACCATGCCCGCTAAACCATTTCACTGTCATTCAGTTTGGTCTCAAGTGGACCAAGCATTATGTTGTAGATTGGACATTCTGTGCTAGAAGAAGGTTTTGGAAGCTATTTGTTTGCTAAACTGTTTGCTTTTCTAGAAAATGAAAAATTACCCATATGTTTACAAGCCCTAGTCCGATTAAGTGCTGAGAACATTTCAGGATTCAGGTTTTACTTCTTTCTTTATGTTTCTGCTGTCTTTTTCCTACAGGTTTTCACTATTTTTCAGTATCCTAGGCTGGTTCATAGTATTTAAAATGATCAAACACCACAGTAGCAATGCCAGTTGTTAGAAGTGAACACGAAGTAGAAGAGGCTCCAGAAAGCTCTGTGGGCAGAAGCAGCTTTTTAAGAGTTTAATCCATTCTTAGAAGCTGTGTGATTTTCCATTTCCTAACATGCTGGCATTCCCAAAGCAGCAACTTAACAACTACTAGTATTACAACTAAAGGTTGTGATATATTCTGCTGATCATTACTTTTGAGGGTTGTTTTTTTCAATAATGTATTTAATTACCTGGGGGTCTGGGAGGCTGATTTCTTTTTCTTATTTTCCTTTGCTTTTCATCTTTGGCAGTATGTTGTTGATTTCTTTTTTCACAGCAGCAATTTTTGATACCAACTACTATATTGTGTAACTAATGGGGTGTACCACAGGCTTACTGTTAGGCAGTGCAGTGCCTTCTCCTCAGACCTTTCCCTCCCACAAGAGGGCAACTGCTGAGAACAACCTTCCTGCCTATTGTGCACACATCTGTTAAGTTGATGCTTAGAACAATTATAGGCTCTTTCTCTCCCTACTATGAGTCTCCAGAATCAAACTGTTCAGTTCTTCATGACAATAAATCCTCCAAACCTACATAGCCTCCAATGCTTTTCAATACTGGCTGGAGACAAGTAATAATTTATTCGTATGTCAGAAAATAATTTCAAAAATGCCAAGAAGAAAAGAAAAATGGGATAGAAAAAAATTACATTCTGAGACTCTAAAGTAGGTTTTTGGGTTGTTGTTTTTTTTTTTTTTTCCTTTCAATGTCCTGAATGTGAAAGAAGTTTGAAGGCTGGATAAAAGAATTGGAGGGGAAAGGTGAGAAAACGCTTGAAAAAACTTGCAGGGAAGTATGAAGTCCTGTCAAGCGCTTTTAATTTTCATTGTTTTATCATTCAGATAGCAAGGTCAGAAAGAGCATACTCAACACTGCAAAACAGGACATTCTGTAAGACGGAACAAAAACTTGCTCATTCTCTGGCCTGAAAAGTGCTGTGTCTTTTTTTAAAGATTTTATTTTCTCATAATCTGTTATCTTTTTTCTCTTGTATGTAGAATGACAAACTCAAAATATTTAGGAAGAAAGCAGCGTTTAGCATCGCTTTTCTGTTGGGATTTGCAATTTCAGGATCTGAAGCACAGGAATCTTTAATCACAAGACAAATTATGCTGACTTTGGGAGAAAAAAACAGGAGTAAATTGTTGCCAGTTCTCCCAGTGCTGTCAGAAGGAAATGACAAAATAGGGCCCAACAGTCTCCAATTTCAAGTGAATCTGTAGGAAAGGAAACTGCCTGGAGTAACAAGTAGAGAAACTTCTTACATTGTCCGTTTGTTTCTCAAAGGTTCTGGCTTCTTAAAAGGGGAAAGTAACTGGGCTGTATAGGCGTGTAGGCAGAGGATTTTTTCTCCCCTTTTTATAGCTTTACCAAAAACATACTCAAATGAACAATCTTGAAACATTACAATCCTGCAGAAACACAATGCAGTGGAACCATTTAGATTTTCTTTATTAAACCAGGCTGTGGATCAGGATTCTTGAAGCAATTGAGTTGTTATAATTTGTCCTTAATCAAGCTAAAATAATCTTAGAAGTGTGTTACGAACTTGCAGACTCCTTTACTCAGTGGAAAATTGCCTCTCCCTTCTTCTGTTTTTGGCTACATTCCTTCAAAGCTGATAACAATAGTAATTCTGCTAAATATTTGTTTGAGATTTGAAACGAAGGAAAGAGTAATACAGAGACAGCATTTTCCTAGAGTGAGTGAAATCATCTCCTTCCCTTTACCTGGAGAAGTGGTTGGTCCAAAATTTTTCTTACGCTATTGTGACTTTAATTGCCCAGAAAACTACATTATTAAAACATAAGTGTGTTAAACATTCACTGGAATGTTTGTTGATTATCTTGCTATACCATCCAAAATTCTTCTTGGAGTATTTCTATAGTGTGTATCCAGGACATTTATGGAGAAGTATCACAGAATCATAGAATGGCCAGGGTTGAAAAAGACCATAAGGATCATCTAATTTCAACCTCCCTGCTATACGCAGGGTTGCCAACCACCAGATCAGGCTGCCCAGAAACACATCCAGCCTGGAAGTGCAGTGTGTATTGTAGATTCCTACATGATGGAGAGAAACTTAAATCTGTCATATTTCCAAATGAAATCTCTGAAAAATATCATTTCTTCTGTTCTGTAAATTAAAAAGACAAGGTCCCCAGTTTTGAAGTCACAACAGCAGCATGAGTTTGGTAATTTAGAAACTGCAGTTTTAGATTCTGTTATTTCTTCTATTCTGAGACCTTCTGACATTTCCTGTGTTCTGCCAGTCATAGCTTCCTATTGTTTTAACTGCCTTTATCTCCTGTTACATGAACTACCAAAACAAGTAAAAGACAAGTTGGCTGACTTTAGGGAAAACAGTGAAACTAACTGTATATGTAGAACTTCTAAAAGCAGAGAAATTAAGTAAGGGGGAGAACATAGAACATTTCTAAATTGTCTGTGCAAATTATAGATGATCATATGCTTTGAAATTGCCGAAAATCAAAATATTTTTTTTTTTAATTCATGTATTTAAAACTATTATCATCGTTTTTCTTTAACTTGACTTCTGAGGAAGTTACATTAGGACTGACGTGCTAATTGCCTGATCAGCTGGGTTCTACTTTCCTATAACATTACTGCATTGTTCGCTAAGTTCTTGACTTTGAGAATAAAAACTGAATTTTCAGAGCGAGCTCAAAGTACCAAATCTTGGGTGCCAAGCTAACCAAATCTGTCAGTGTAAGATTTTGTGATGCTTTGAAACTTATGCTTTCTTCACTGGAGGAACACATATGCCACTAACTTACCTATTTGCCCTCCTAGGAATTGCTTTGTGGTATTCCTCTAAATAGGAAGCTAATTGCTTACTGCAGTGAGGCAGTTCAGTAATGGATTCAATATGGATGTTAAGTTTGTTGTACTTGATAGTATTTTTCATTTCTTTTTATTGGTCTAGTGCTTTTAAACCACTGTTTTCAATTCACGATGGCACACTGAATGTCAGGTAGACACATAAAACATCATGAAAACACATGGGCTAGAAACAGATGGTACTAGGCATATGTAGAGTGATGTAGTTTTTCTGAACATGTTGTGTTTCTGTCACTGACGTTTCTTGTGCTCCTGTGGGCTGGTACCCAGTCTCAGTGCAACACTGGAGGAAGGCCTGTATCTACAAAAACGTTCAGAATTGTTCAGTTGTTCTTCTCTACAAGTATAGTAGAGGACATCATTGCTGTTGCACACTAGGGTTCTTTACTGCTTTTCCCACTGCTTTGCGAAGTGATATACTGCAGCAAGAAACTATAACTTCTGTTTCACTTCAAGAAGTACAATTTAGGAGCTGGGGTAATTTGATGGATAGTAGATACTAAGAAAAATATTAGAACCTGGGAAAGGCCACATAGTCCACAGAGGCTTATTTCATTCAAGGTACACCTTCCCTAGGTTATCATCCAATTGTTAAGAGAAAGAGTAATGTTATCCATTTTTTATAATTCTACTTCTGGGTATTACAGAGATAAATACGTAGATGCTGGAGAACTAACTTTCTTTCAGAGCACTATTTCAGGAGAAAGATACTTAAATGCAGATAGGTGGGATGACAGAAAAGAAATTGACCCTAAATGAAAAATATGATGATAGTGATATGAATACATGTGGATAATCGTGGTTTCTCAAACTACCCCAGGGACAAGCTTCTAATCATGAGACTTAAAGAAAGTAACCTTTCCTTTGATTTATTGTTTCAGGACCGATGCAGGAGACAATATATGACTTTTGGAGAATGGTATGGCATGAGAACACAGCCAGCATAATCATGGTTACTAATCTCGTGGAAGTGGGAAGGGTAAGTGATTTTTGCACTTAAAAAGATGAAAGACTTCCAAGGTGTTTGCTTTTGGAAATTAAATAGCAGACCAACAAGATGCTTATATACTGAGTAAAGCACATAAAATATTTATGGCTGCCTCTGCTAAGAGATTCATTACCAATTATTTTTAAGCATGCTTTGGATGCTTGGCTTTGATAACAGAAGCCCAACAAGAACGTAACTGATAAAGTTGTATTCTGTACAGCACAGCTTGCAATGACTGCCAAAGAGGGAAAGCGTCACATCTTTGTGTGCATACTTTTTCTATTAGGGGAAATCAGGGAATTAGTTACAGAACAAGATATGTAGTCATCTTTTTTCTCTTTTTTAAGGAGGAGAAGGGAAGTTATTCTGGAACAGATTTCTGATAAGTATCTAAACTATGAAATTGCACCTTCTTCACAATATGTTAGTTCAAATCAATCCAGTTTGGGCATTTCTTCTTGTAAGCCTTCTGGACTAAAACAAAATAAATTGACTTTACTCATTTGTAGATGGTACTCTGTGTTTAAGAGATGTTTGGGCAATGCCCTCTACAACATGTTTTAACTTTTTGTTGGCCCTGAAATGCTCTGGCTGTTGGATCCAATGATGTTTGAAGGTCTCTTCCAACTGAATTATTTTGTTCTTTTCCATCAGATCTATTGACCAAGAGCTCTTCTTCAGGAGCTCAGTAGTTAAGGAAAGCTTGAGTTACCTGATTGATAATGCGTACTTTTCTTTCTTTGCTTGACAACTTCTAAAGTAGGTGTCCAATTCAACTGATTATGGCTAATTTTGTTTTCAACAAGTATTGAACAGACACATTTTATTTGTTTTCACAACTATCAATAACTGAGTGTTTTAATTTACTGCTCTGTCTATATAGTGGTGTCTTACTTTTCATCTGGAATGTTCTGTTGTTTGTTGGTTGTTTTTTTTTCCTTTTGAAGCTTTCATTTGAAATGAAAAAAAAAGCCACTGCTTTTATTGCAACTACTGCAACTATTGTAGTGTTGAATTATTGTTGTGTTGAAATAAATGCACGTATGTTGGTGTGAGCCACAGAGTTTTGAGACATGTTCTAAATTTCATTCTGGTGGAATGACTGATCTGTTCTGTGGTGTTTCTACTAGGAAAGAATACTCCTAATGTAGTATGAGTCCAAGGGCTGGATCTTGTCTTCTTTAACAAGTCCAGTTTTACAAACTGAATTTATTCTTCTTTATGTCCTTGGTCACTTGCTAATATAAATTCTAACATTTAGATACCTGTGTGCAAATCTGCCAACAGATCAGGTGCGAGTATTATTTTTAGCTATAAAAAAGGTAGGATTTCTGACTACAATTAACACCTGCTGCAGGAACATAATTTACAGCTAATTGCAGAAACAAAAAGCGTCATGGAGGCTGCTTTGAAAGTTCAGTCCCTCGAGTGAAAAGGAAGATAGAAACAGTTGGGTGGCTACTCAGAAGTTCAAAATGAATTTGTACAAATAAGAATCATAAAAGCATGTAATGGTTTGGATCGGAAGGGGCCTTAAAATCCCAGCAAATTTTTTATAGCTTTATAGACATTCTTAAGTACTAAAGCACACATTAAAAAAGGAGATGGATGGATGGAAGGGATTGACGAACATGCCTTAGAACAAAACCAGCATACTACACAGTGCCACATCCTCTTTTCCTGATATCCTCATTTGAAAGCATCAATTAGTGTGAGCTGTCAGGTACCACCTGCAGACACGCCAGGCTTGCTGTCAGTGTTGAGGCCTCTACTCACTCTGTACAGTTAGGCAGCGTATTTCTTTACCAGTGAGAAACAGTTCGTGCCACTGTGGAGATTTCTTTGGGGTGCAAGAGTCCTAGTGGGATACAGATCTGCAGTTTTCTTGCTTCTGACAGAGGTGGAAATGACTTTGTTCAGTTTCTCTGGAGGCCAACGTAGGTGAGATAGGAGAGCAGAATTAAAATGACTTTCTAAGGGATATGAGATTTTATGAGCTGCAGAGCAACGCAGTCATTCCTCCATTGGTGCTTCTGTCCCACTCCTAGGGCGTGAACCATCAGCAACAAGGAGGCATATTGCAACACACCATCTGTCCCACAGCCCCAAACACAAGCTCTGTGCCACCTTGATTAGTAATGATTTAAATGGGCCTCTTGATAGCATTCCTACAGGGCAAACCTTGTAACCTTCCTGACCTTGAGGTTTTCTATTTCAGGTGCAGTAGCTGGTAGAAGATTTATAGGGGCCTATTATTTCATATTTTTTGACCTCTTACCCATTTGAAATAAAGGAGAACTTTATGTTCTCAGAAAAGAAGAATATCTATTTAACATGTTTGCTACACAATTTATGTCCATCATGAATTAATCATTGAGGGGGCGTATGTGTATTTGTTTACCAGGACTGGCTGGATAGTTATTAAATCAGTGCTAGGAACTTGCTTCTTGCCCTGGAGCATTATGCATCAGGACTGTTTTAATTGCGAATGGAGGAATCACCATGAGGCTGTCCCTAATGCAAGCACCTGCTGCAAATGACTCAGTCCCTGCATTACCCTCCAGCAGGGTCTGGGTACATCTGCCAATATCTGTCATTATCTGAGGCATACTTGTCAAAACCATGCATCCCTTTTAGCTCTTGTGTGTTCCAGCAAGGGACCCTTGTCAGTGTTTCTGGCACCTGCAGACTGCTGTGCACCTGGTATTTAAATGGCACAGAAATGTGTTTTGATTGTTTTCTCTCTTTAATGAACCCACCTGAGGGACATTTAGCTCTTTATCCAGTAGCCTGTTACCCAGTCGCTCACATTTACACTGCTTGTGTGGAAATTCAGAACTCACTTGTGCTGTTATACCAATCCATCTGCCAGAAGTCTTATCACAAAATCTGCAGGGCTCCCTAAGGAGACTTTTGTACTGGTAATTTAAGCTAATGATTTCTAAACATATTTAGTCAGTTTTATGAAGACCTCATTAGAATGTGACTGTTTATTAAAAAACTAAATGAGGTCTCACAGTCATTTAGAAAAAATCGTTGCTGAGTTGCACGAACAGTTCTTTGATAACAGCTGATGAAGTATTTTTTAGTTAAGTCTACGTTGACTTAAGAACTTTTACAAAAAAAGGAAAAAAACAGGCAGCCCTTGAAAGACAAAGATAAAAGTCTGTGTCTTCTTCAGGCTGTGGTCAACAACTTTCCCCTCTCAATGAAGGCTGCAGAAAGGAAAAGACAAGTAATTAGTGTTGTAATATACCTGTATTTTAGTGCAACAATCAACATTTCCCAAGCCACGGACTAAGCAAGACTCATAAAAATATATCAACATGACAACAGGCCAACAGGCTATTTAAAAAAAAAAAAAAAAAGGATTACATTCATGCATTTTGGATTATATTCATACAGAGACCTCCATGTTCCTGTTAGTAAGGAGCAATTGTAGGCAGTTGTGTACTTTCAGATATCTTTTCCTGAAGGACTTAGCATGACATGGTGGATTACTCTAAAAGACAGCAACTTTTTGTCCTGCTTGCAGAGGTACAGTTAGAAAAGAGACGTAAGAGAACATCTTGCTTATTCCAGGAGACTTCTCTTATAGCTGGACCCTTCCAGTAGAAAGCGATGCAAACAGGATCACAGTCTTCACGTACTGGCCAAAGTCTTGGTTTCTTCTTGAAATGTTTCACTGGTGGTATGCATTGAAACTTTTCTCTCCTCCTTAAAAAAAAAAAAATCACTGGGAAGGTTTAGAAAATATTCAGTTGTGCCATCTAGCTGTCAATTCCATCTTTGCTCTTCTGAGACTGGTACTGATACTTGGCTGGAGGAATCAAACTTGGCACGTCACATCATTTGTCATTTGTCAGTAGTCATATTCTCTCCCACTCCTTGTTTTTGCTTGAGGCAGGAGGAATTTAGTAATATCTGATTAATAAATGGTGAAATGCACTGATGAAATTCAGTGGAGGTGGTTGATATATAAATGCACTGCTAGGATTCATGATTGTCTATCGTGCTTTTAAAATAACAACGTATTTACAAAAAAAATTATGAGAAATAATTATAAAAAATGGAACCTCACCCTAGGAGCATCGTAATTGCAGTAATTAGAGTTTCACTTCAATTATTATCCAGAATTAGAAAACAGCCAGTGCTAATAGTATTAATAAGCACACAAAAAGACTTTTCTTTTTTAAAGGAGGCAAAGTTGACAACAACAGAACAGATGTGAGACAAACAAGGGAAGAAAGGTCACCGTATGGTGGCAAATAGCCCCTACTCCTGCACATGTGCATTCACACTACCAAAACAGCTTCTCACCAATATCTTCGAGGAGTGTTGAGCTTTCCTGACAGCCATCTCACCCTCCTCTGGGTGACTTTTTCACCCTGGAGCCATCAGGGCTATACCTGCATAGGGAAAAAGAAAGAGCACTGAAAGTTGGCAGCTTAGCTGATCCTCTGCTTGTGTGACTGGACCTGCAGTTGACCTACAAGGCACTATCATCTGCTTTGCTGCAAAAATGTTGATGGCTTTGATTCTTCATGCTTAAAAAATGTGGGGTCTACATGGCAGTAAGAAGACCCATAAAGTGGTAAAATGTAGCAGGGAATGGAATGGAAAATGACAGGGAAGGAGCATCTCCTTTGGGCTGGCTGGTTAAAAACCATTCTTTGTTGTAAGATAAAAATCTGTCACAAAAAGAGTTGTTCTTCACAAGAAAGAATCTATGTGGTCCCAGTCCTAAGCAATCATATGTGCTTGGGCCTTGAGAGCTCAGGATGTGCAACCTTGTTCAATGTTCAAGAGACAATTCTAAAGGAGATACAAATGTGTCTCCTGAAGAAAAAAAAATCCAGAACTCCTAATTATTTTCAGATTCTCCTTATGGTATGTTTCTGTTATGAACAGACATCAGACATCCAAGAAAAACTGTCTTAAAGTAAATAAAATAAAAATAAAATCCTGCCCAAAAGCTCCTCACTAAAACG